ATCCCGAAGTTGGCGGATTGCAAAACAGATCTGTATTTTTTTGCATTGAGCAATGAAGAAGAGGATATATTGCCAACATATAGCAGTATTTCTGTGGCCTGTAACATAAATAGAATTCTTAGAAACATATGAAGTCAGTAGTTCAGCTGAAAAGTGGCAGCAGTAAGGGCAGTGGAGGGAACACTCCCAAAGACCTGGTAGGAGAGTAAACTCAACCATACACCATCCAAAATGGAAAAGAGTACATAGTTTCTTTGCCTGTAGTAAATCAACCCCACTGTTGTCTCTGGTTAAAAGTAGACCTTCCATGGCAAATGGAAGGTCCACTATTTCTGCCAGCCCTCTGCCTTCCCAATTAACAAACCAACTTGCCTAAAAAAATTCCTTACTCCAGCCCTGGTCTCTGACACTTCCAGGAGGTACAGGTGACATTACTGGACTTTCTGGAAGAGGTGGAAACTTGAAATCCTTCAAAAACCCACTCCAGCCCATTGTAAGAGTGAAAATCTGCTGGATTTTGAGCTGCCAGCTCTGGTGGGAGGCACCGTGATGTTACCCATGCCTCCTGGAACTGTTGAAGACCCGTCCAAAGGTAAGTTCTTCTTTTGTTATTTTTTTCACATAGAGTGGAATTTTGCTTTTCAAGTACAAGTTTGATCAGTCTATGACCAGTCTTTAATCAGATTTTGGTCATTCCTTGAGATCTGAAGCGGAGAGCTTGTCCCTTGAAACGCATTAGCATCAATTGAGGGTTGCCAGAAGGGTCCTTCAATGACAATCAAGATTATGGATCTCCAGGCTCTCAACCAGGGTTTCATGGAACCCTTGAGTTCCTCCAGAGGCTGCTAGAGCTTCCTTGAGCAATGAACAATGAGCAATTTCTACTGCTGAAATAAGTTCCCACTGATACCAATGATTTTTTTTGCTATCTGTAAGGGGGTAATTCCTCCCTATGACCACAAGTGTAAGGAATATCACACTAGTAATTGTTTGCAGGTGTTCCCTGAGACTGGAAGGTTATTTCAAGGGTTCCTCATGGTTGAAAAACTTGAGAAAGGCTTATCTAAACAAAGGGCCGGTTTACTGTCCTTTTGACTTTTAAGGGTGCCAGGCTATCCCAAGTGGGAGTAGAAAATAATATAAAATAAAGTGCAGCGCTAAAAATAGGTACATAAAAGTATCAAAATCATTCATAAAATAAGTAAAAATAGTTCAAAAAGTGACTGTTAATGTGAACAGGAATCCTGTGTCCTTCAAGAATTCGGTGCTTGTGCAGTCAAAAATGAGGGGAATGCGCACTCACCAGAATGCACAGTAAATTGCGCATTAATGTATAAATATCTCGGTGTCATCAAGGTCATCCAAGTCTGGTCAGGAATGAAGTGAAATCCCTCACTGGATATGTCTGGATCATGAAGGTTCTGATGTATACTGGGAAAGTGCCAGAGATCCCTTTAAGAGATGGACGGGTCAGCTCACCAGGTGTACAGGGGCTCCCTCTCTGGATACTGGGTATCTGAAAATTAATCCTCCCCAAGGGAGTTAAAGCAGAGAGATCTCCATAGTGTAGTATAGCTGGCCATAGGGCCCACTGGCCATAGGGCACCAGGGCCGCTTGGATAAGGGGGGGCAGCCAGGTGGCACAGAGCAACCGATCCATGCATTTCACTCCTGCAGCCACTGAATGCCCACTTATCCTCCTCACCTTCCAGCAGGCATTCAGCGGCGGCAGGAGAGAAATGCACGGACCAAAAATGCTGCCTGGCCACCCCTCCTATCCATCTCCTGCTGCCCTGGGCTGCTGTATATTCCCCCGGCAGCCAATCCCACCTCACCCCCCTTTCCCTGCGGCTGCTGCAGGAGATCTGTCAGGATAGACTGTTCCCTGACTCTGACCTGAGAGGGTATCTCTCCCACAGCCCAGAGCCAGTGCTAACAGTTCCCCCCACCCCTCCCTTGCCGCCGGGCTTCAAGGAAAGGGTCCCTGGGCTTGGGGCTGCTCAGCCTAAAATTCCCGGGTCTATTTTGTGTCCCAATCTGAGTGCAGGTGTGACTGGGATGGCAACAAAACCAATCAGAGTCCAGCATGCACAGCGGCTTCTGTGGGGGAGGGGGCATATTTTAGTTTGGATTTAAATTTTCCATAAAATGAAAGTGAGATAAGTTGGCGAAAAGTTTTGTGCTCCTAGGATTCTAACCTGAAACATTTTTCTTTTTTAGATTTAATAGATTATTCAGATTTTGAAGTAATTTTTCATGAAAAAGTAAGTACCATCCTCCCTCTCTATCTCTCTCTCTATAATCCATATTTATATATTTGTCCTGGTAACAGATGTGTTTTTATTCCTAAATAAGAATGCCAGGAAGTGTCTATACATTCTAACCTCGCTTTGTGACATAATCCCTGCGGAATGTTTTACTATATCAGCTCCTAATCATTTACAGTACAATTGTGTTCTATTCCTGTAATAGTCATACACTATATTGCCAAAAGTATTGGGCTGCCGGCCTTTCCACGCACATGACCTTTAATGGCCTCCCAGTCTTAGTCCATAGGGTTCAATATTGAGTTGGCCCCGCCCTTTCCACGCACATGACCTTTAATGGCCTCCCAGTCTTAGTCCGTAGGGTTCAATATTGAGTTGGCCCCGCCCTTTGCAGCTATAACAGCTTCAACTCTTCTGGGAAGGCCGTCCACAAGGTTTAGGAGGGTGTCTATGGGAAGGTTGGACCATTCTTCCAGAAGGGCATTTGTCAGGTCAGGCACTGATGTCGGGGGAGGAGGCCTGGCTCGCAGTCTCCGCTCTAATTCATCCCAAAGGTGTTCTATGGGGTTGAGGTCAGGACTCTGTGCAGGCCAGTCAAGTTCCTCCACCCCAAACTGGCTCCTCCATGTCTCTATGGACCTTGCTTTGTGCACTGGTGCTCAGTCATGTTGGAACAGGGAGGGGCCATCCCCAAACTCTTCCCACAAAGCTGGGAGCATGAAATTGTCCAAAATGTCGCCTTAAGAGTTCACTGGAACTAGGGGGCCAAGCCCAACCCTTGAATAACAACCCCCCACCATAACCCCCCCCCCACCAAACTTTACACTTAGCACAATGCAGTCAGGCAAGCACCGTTCTCCTAGCAACCGCCAAACCCAGACATGTCCTTTGGATTGCCAGACAGAGAAGCATGATTGGTCACTCCAGAGAACACAACTCCGCTGCTCTAGAGTCCAGTGGCGGCGTGCTTTACACCACGGCATCCGACGCTTTGCATTGCACTTGGTGATGTCAGGCTTGGATGCAGCTGCTCGGCCATGGAAACCCATTCCATGAAGTTCTCTACACACTGTTGTTGGGCTCATCTGAAGGCCACACCAAGTTTGGAGGTCTTTAGCTATTGACTCTGCAGACAGTTGGCGACTTCTGCGCACTGTGCGCTTCAGCACGCGCTGACCCCGCTCTGTCATGTGACGTGGCCTACCACTTGGTGGCTGAGTTTCTGTTGTTCCCAGTTGCTTCCACTTTGTTATAATCCCACTAACAGTTGGTCGTGGAATATTTAGTACCCAGGAAATGTCACGGATGGACTTATTGCACAGGTGACAACCTATCACGGGACCATGCTTGGAGTCACTGAGCTCCTGAGAGCGACCCATTTTTTCACTGATGTTTGTAGAAGCAGTCTGCATGCCTAGGGGCTTGATTGTATACACCTGTGGTCATGGAGGGGATTGGAACACCTGAATCACATGACTTGGAGGGCGGGGCCAATACTTTTGGCAATGTAGTGTATGTCTATGGCATGCAGGAACTAAGTAAATGACCCTCACAGCAGACCCAGCAGAGGGCAGCACTTGCATTAAATTTTATAATTATTATTATATAGGATTTATATAGCGCCAACAATTTGCTTTACAAAATGAAGGCAGACATTACAGTTACAATACAATTTGGTACAAGAGGAAACAGAGGGTTCTGCTCGTTAGAGCTTACAATTTATGCAAATTTTTTTTTGCTTACAGGTGTTCAATCATTTGCCTAGTCCATCAAAAAAATTAACAAATAGAAAAAAGTATCCATATATACACAATAATTCACGGGCAGCAATTATATACATATCAGAGTATCTTACATTTAGTACACTTATCCATATTATAGTGAAAACACAGAGATATCACCATCTCACTATTTGCCTTCAGAACCCCAATTACTAGTGTTCTGTTTCAAATGCCACTTTATGCATTGACCCCTTTCTTTAGACCCATTTGTCTGCTTAGTGTGGTCACCTGCTGACTTGGCACCATCCACAGGCAGCTTAACTCTGCAATAAGACACAAAGGTTGAATCCAATGCAATTTCAGCTAATTACCATACATAGGATATGTTTCAAGTCCCTTGAAGAACAAGAAGACAATGAGTGGGATTTACTGAAACTGGTGCACACAAAATCTGATGCACCTGTCCAATCAGCTTCCAGGTTTTATTGTTAAAGCTCAACTGAACATGCTGAAGTTAAAAGCTGATTGGTTACTATGCACAGCTGCACCAGAACCAGGCCTAAGCCCTGTTTCTGTGAAGTACTAACACTGACTGAGAGAACATGGAGTTAGATAAAAAGAAAGAAGCGCCCAGTGTCCAGAGAAATGCAACTGCCAAAGTATGGTTCATACACGTTTATTAAAAAGTAATGACGCGTACATCAATCCGAAGCATTTCCAGGGAATAAACTCCTCCTTCTTCAGGGCTGTTCCTGTGTACTCTTTAATGAGAACAATTCCTATTGGTTATGTTGAATCAAGGTTTCAGAAATCAGGAAGGCAGAATGTCGGCTTTATTTGCATGGGCAGCATTGCTATTGCCCCGAAACGCGTTGGATGGACGTACATGTTGCTACTTTTTAGCCACTTGCCGCCCAGCCTATAGTCAAATGACGGCCGGGCCAAGCTCTCGTCCCTCTGGTATGGCAGCATATGACGTCCTTCCCGGATCGCGCTTTGCGCGTGCCCGCAGGGCCACGCTGTGGCGGGATCTGTCACCGGCTGTGTACCTCAGACAAGGCCGATGACAGATCTGCGTACCGGCCCCGTTGCCTGTACCATGTGACCAATCACAGCAGGTCACATGAGAGTTGTATACAATGGATGGCTTCCTTTCATGCCGTCCATTATATACAAGTGTGTGTAGCTGTGAATGGTCACAGTGATCACATGCACAGGTTAGGCCAATCACAGCCCATCTGTCGTGATTAGCCGTGGCCAATCACAGCTAATCACAACAAAAAAACCTGAATGAATTCATTTCATTCAGTTAAATGCTTGCTTATAGCAAAGAAATTATGTAAAAAAGAAAAATACTGATCACTTCCCCAAAGTAGTACAATGTTACCATGGTAACATTATACTACTTTGGTCATAGTGTAATATGAAAAAAAAAAAAAAATGAAAAGAAATTACCAGTCAGTGCCCCTGATCACCACCATGCCAGTTATATGATGACGCTGTACTGCACTGGTGACAGTATGTGAAAAAAAATTGTGAAAATAATTTTTTTTAATTTTTTAATTTTCCGAAAAATTATGACAAAAAAATTACAACTTCAAAAAACTCGCCATGCCTCTTATGAAGTACATTGGACTGTCTACTTTGCAAAAAGGGGTCATTTGGGGGATATCTGTACTGTCCTGACATTTGAGGGATATCTGTACTGTCCTGACATTTGGGGGATATCTGTACCGTCCTGACATTTGGGGGATATCTGTACCGTCCTGACATTTGGGGGATATCTGTACCGTCCTGACATTTGGGGGATATCTGTACTGTCCTGACATTTGGGGGATATCTGTACTGTCCTGACATTTGGGGGATATCTGTACCGTCCTGACATTTAGGGGATATCTATACTGTCCTGACATTTCGGGGATATCTGTACCGTCCTGACATTTGGGGGATATCTGTACTGTCCTGACATTTGGGGGATATCTGTACTGTCCTGACATTTGGGCGATATCTGTAATGTCCTGACATTTGGAGGATATCTGTACTGTCCTGACATTTGGGGGATATCTGTACTGTCCTGACATTTGGGGGATATCTGTACTGTCCTGACATTTGGGGGATATCTGTACTGTTCTGACATTTGGGGGATATCTGTACTGTTCTGACATTTGGGGGATATCTGTACTGTCCTGACATTTGGGGGATATCTGTACTGTTCTGACATTTGGGGGGATATCTGTACTGTCCTGACATTTGGGCAATATCTGTAATGTCCTGACGTTTGGAGGATATCTGTACTGTCCTGACATTTGGGGGATATCTGTACTGTCCTGACATTTGGGGGATATCTGTACTGTTCTGACATTTGGGGGATATCTGTACTGTGCTGACATTTGGGGGATATCTGTACTGTCCTGACATTTGGGGGATATCTGTACTGTTCTGACATTTGGGGGATATCTGTACTGTGCTGACATTTGGGGGATATCTGTACTGTCCTGACATTTGGGGGATATCTGTACTGTTCTGACATTTGGGGGGATATCTGTACTGTCCTGACATTTGGGGGATATCTGTACTGTCCTGACATTTGGGGGGATATCTGTACTGTTCTGACATTTTTGGGCCTCAAGAAATTAGATTGGCTGTCAGTACTTCAGGACTGATCAATATTCAGATCTATACCATAGTTTGTGAACTCTATAACTTTCCTAAAGATTAAATAATAAACACTGATTTGGGTTATTTTCACCAAAGACATGTAGCAGAATACATTTTGGCCTAAATTTATGAAGAACAATTATTTATTTGCAAACTTTAATAACAGAAACAAAGAAATGTTTTTTTTTTTTAATTTAGCATAAAATAAAAACCCCGGTGGTGATTAAATACCACCAAAAGAAAGCTCTAGTTGTGTAAAGAAAATGATAACATTTTAGTGTTGCATGACAGCGCAATTACCATTCAAAGTGTGAGAGCACTGAAACCTGCAAACTGGACTGGGCAGAAAGGGGGTGAAAGTGCCTGGTATTGAAGTGGTTAATGAGCGTCTGTGAACCATACTTTATAAGATGCATTTCTCTGGCCACTGGGCGCTCCTTTTTTTGTATCCAAGTTACATGCTGAAACAACCGTAAGATCGCACAGAAAAGGCAGCAGCCCAAGAGGGCCCATTGCCACCATCCATCATTGGGCAATATCCACCGGAAGGAATTCCTTCCTTTTTGTGCCCACACAAATACCCATCCAGGACCAGTGCGGTCTGCAACACAAATGAGGGAACATGGAAGAAATGAGGAGGAGTTTGCTAGCACTGACCTAACTAGCTCTAAACAGGAGGGCAGAAGCCAAAATCACAAAAGTAAACAAGTTGTAGTTTTTCAGCACAACCATGAGATGTACTACTACTAAACAGCAATAACCGGAAGCGGTTCAACACCAAACAGAAACAAATACATACAAGTAGGACAGGAGAACAGCGTGCATAGCAGCCTTGAATCATTGGATCTGCAATCGCTAAGTCTGATGTTGTCCTGCAGGAGATCAGATTCTGGTACCTATACTGCTTGCATTTCAGAAATACATTTTATGATGTATAGATTATTACAGAGCTGCATTCATTTGGGTCTTTTATATCTGCCTGGAGTTCAGCTCTAAGGAAAGGAAATATAGAACTGGAATGTTGATGTATTTAGTGCCAAATATGTGTTCAATTTCTATTGCGAAACAAGTCCACATTTGATTACTATGGTTATCCTACGATATTTATTTCTCAGAATAGCCCATAGTTGTGTTTTTTTTTTGCATTGCACGCATATTTAGGGGCACATTTCTGACACATTTCTGACACATTTCTGATATTTGCAAGACTGCAGATTATATAAAAAACAAAGAATGGTTCCATGAAACAGCACAGATGTAAACGCGCTCCCTGGTGTTGAGTAGCCCTGTCCTGTTTAAAATGCTGCTTTATACCATTGATATACCTCCACTAAACCAGTCTGCCTGGACATTACGGTCACCTGCTCACATGGCAGAATCCACAGTCAGCGTAACTCTTCAATAAGACACAGAAGTTGAATCCATGCAAGTGCAGTACAGAGGGCAGGGCTGTGGATAAGGGGGTACCACCAGTCCTCCTGTACAGAGTCCAGGTCAGCAGGGGGGCCCAGGCAGTGAATCGGATGTGGGCAGGGAGGGTGATCGGCACAGCGGAGAGGCAATTGCTGCAACAGATCCCCTGTATAGCCCTCAAGGGGCGTATAATCTAAGGTCCCTAACCCTCAAGGGGTGTACAATCTAAGGTCCCTAACCCTCAAGGGGTGTACAATCTAAGGTCCCTAACCCTCAAGGGGCGTATAATCTAAGGTCCCTAACCCTCAAGGGGCGTAGAATCTAAGGTCCCCAACCCTCAAGGGGCGTACAATCTAAGGTCCTTAACCCTCAAGGGGCGTAGAATCTAAGGTCCTTAACCCTCAAGGGGCGTAGAATCTAAGGTCCCTAACCCTCAAGGGGCGTACAATCTAAGGTCCCTAACCCTCAAGGGGCGTACAATCTAAGGTCCCTAACCCTCAAGGGGTGTACAATCTAAGGTCCCTAACCCTCAAGGGGTGTACAATCTAAGGTCCCTAACCCTCAAGGGGCGTATAATCTAAGGTCCCTAACCCTCAAGGGGCGTAGAATCTAAGGTCCCTAACCCTCAAGGGGCGTACAATCTAAGGTCCCTAACCCTCAAGGGGTGTACAACTAAGGTCCCTAACCCTCAAGGGGTGTACAATCTAAGGTCCCTAACCCTCAAGGGACGTACAGTCTAAGGTCCCTAACCCTCAAGGGACGTACAATCTAAGGTCCCTAACCCTCAAGGGGCGTACAATCTAAGGTCCCTAACCCTCAAGGGGCGTATAATCTAAGGTCCCTAACCCTCAAGGGGCGTAGAATCTAAGGTCCCTAACCCTCAAGGGGCATACAATCTAAGGTCCTTAACCCTCAAGGGGCGTAGAATCTAAGGTCCCTAACCCTCGAGGGGTGTACAATCTAAGGTCCCTAACCCTCAAGGGGAGTACAATCTAAGGTCCCTAACCCTCAAGGGGCGTAGAATCTAAGGTCCCTAACCCTCAAGGGACGTACAATCTAAGGTCCCTAACCCTCAAGGGGCGTACAATCTAAGGTCCCTAACCCTCAAGGGGCGTACAATCTAAGGTCCCTAACCCTCAAGGGACGTACAATCTAAGGTCCCTAACCCTTAAGGAGCGTACAATCTAAGGTCCCTAACCCTCAAGGGGTGTATAATCTAAGGTCCCTAACCCTCCAGGGCGTATAATCTAAGGTCCCTAACTCATATTAATACATACACATACTAGGGCCATTTAGACAGGAGCCAATTCACCTACCAGCATGTCTTTGGAGTGTGGGAGGAAACCAGAGTACCTGGAGGAAACCCACGCAGGGAGAACATGCAAACTCCAGGCAGGTAGTGCCGTGGTTGGGATTTGAACCAACGACCCAACTACTGCCAGGCGGAAGTGCCAACCATTTAGCCACTGTGCTGCCCGGCATTACACGTTGCACGTGTGGGGGGTGCAGTTAAACGTTTCGGGACAGTACCGCCCCTTTCTCAAGGAGACTCAAACAGGAAGGGAGAAACAGAGGTATGTTCTATATGCAGACATAAACAAGTTAAAGTGGCTTTAACTTTTTTTACAACAGTGCGATGCATATATATGGTGTCAGTGCTGGGTGGGCCTGAACACCCAGCCACCACATATATGTGTCGCTGTCTTGTTCTGGGGCGCACTTCATCAGCGCCCCCTGAACTGACAGCTCATGATCCACTACTGATGAGTAGGAGATGGTGAGCGGGGTCTCCAGATGACACAAGCACTGTGCAACCAATCGCATTACTGCAAGATTGGGAACCCTACTTACCAGCTCCAGGTGTCATGACCCATTTAAAGTGACAACACAGTGCAAGATTCTCAGCAAGTTCAGCATCCCCTACTCCTTGGGGATGTGTGTTTTTGTGGACGCTATTGTGCTGTTTCTGTGTTTCTATAGACTATGTATACTCTCTCGTTGATAACTGGATGTGTTTAAGCCTAACAAGGGTCTTCGGGCCCTCTGAATATCGCCCACTGATTCATGGTCTCACGACTCTTGGACACGTTACCCCACCCTGCCTCCTGACATGACCGGAGGAGTCACCGCCCGATTGTGGGGTGACGGCTCCGTTTTTCATGTGTTATGGAGACAGGGTTTGGGCCTGATTGGCCCTTTGATGTT